TTTGTAAGTTTCAAAATATTTGTATTTGATGGAAGAACTTGCTTGGAAATGCTTTAACTTCATTCGCAGCGAAAGTGATGTTTTTTGCTTCTTCGTGGTCATTATGCGTTCTTCTAAACAAAAATCTACTGCCATTTATACAGTTTAGCTATAGTTAACCTTTGTGCTTCATCCTTGCCGAAATAATTGTGTGAGATTCAATTTTTGTACATTTTAAACAAGAAATAAGCGGAAGTAAGGTGGACGGCGCGCTCGCAAAATCGCTCCTGTCCCACGCGGTGCAAAATGCCAAAACACGCGATGTCGTCAACGTGTTAAAGAATTTGGTGATTCACCATTCTGAATCCGTGCCTTAGTTCCCCTTGTTTATGTAGGGGACTTTATCATAATGGGACCCTCTTTTACAGAATTTGAGTTTATTAGATTTGTCTTGCTATGAGCGAAAAGGCTCCACCTAATGTTCGTTGTGAGCCAGGCAGTAATCTGCATCAGCATTCACAGTGTCAGTAAGTTCTGCCTGATGTATTTATTGCTTGTTAGCGCACAAAATGGTTTATTGCTGTAAAACGAAGCACGTTTACAAAGGTGATACAATGTAATTCAATACTTTTTGAAAAGTCATAACTGCGACTCCTTCCTTTCAAGTTGGAATGCATAGTAGGATAGTCAGATGGAATGAAGAATTTCTTAGGCATGGGGCTTTTCAAGTCGTGATCAACGGCACATTTTCTTTTCCTCAATAAGACTCGCTTCGAGTGGGGTTCCTCAAGGAAGCGTCTTGTCGCCTATTCTTTTCAATATTTATACATTTGATTTGCCATTCGCCATAAAAACTGGGAGTTAATGTCAAAGTGTTTGAAGACGATTTGAAAATTTATGGACCCGTGGAGAATTCTCGATCTTCTTCGCCACTTAATCACGATCATAGGTTTCTATAGCTTGTGATGTTGGAAGCTCCACTCTGACTCCTTTATTGACAAGCTTTCGGCGATTAACGCCTTCTTCCGGCCTTAACTAACAATACTATCGATACATCAAAACTATATACAATATACAATACAATGCAGTAAACAACGCACCAAGTAGGAAGGATTGGATTCGTGCCGAGTGGTGTGGTGGGTGGACGGGCAACCTCTAAACTCCTTAGTGTTTCAGAAGGAAAGGAGTGGGGAGGGGGGAGGAAGGAAAGATGGGGTTGGAATGGAAGCTACTCACCCTATTTGATGTGTCGATAGTATTGTTAGTTAAGGCCGGAAGAAGGCGCAAATCGCCGAAAGCTTGTCAAAAAAGGAGTCAGAGTGGAGCTTAACATCACAAGCTATAGAAGAAACTTTAAAAATGAAGCTCAGAGATAGCACGATCTAGTCAATCGATGTTTTCAATTTTTGGTCAATTGAAAATAAGCTGCCACTATCTGTTAACAAGACTAAAGTACTTCATCTGGGAATCTCAAACCCAGAAATACAGTACCGCATAGGCACTTCAGTGCTTGAATCAGCTGACTCCGTCAAAGATCTGAGATTCGTCATTGATCACAACTTAGCTTAGAGGAGCACTTGAGAAACTTGGCGAATGAAGGCAGAGCAAAGAGTTTACCTCTTATTCAAATCACTCAAATCTAGGGACCCGATTGTTGCTTATAAAGGCGTATAAAATCTATGTTTGCTCTGTACTTGAGCATGGTACATGTATTTAACCCTTTGGCGACAATGGCACCCACCGGTGGGTGCCACTATGACCGTCGCGTGGGACAATGGCACCCAATGGTGGGTGCCACCCTGAAATTTTCTTCTTTACCCATTTAAAACATTTTCAACATATCAGTAATTATAAGCAAGCTCCGTTACGCCTATGTTTAGCATATTTTGCAGAAATGTTTGTTACTAGCTAATTTATATGAAGTTTAGGATATGGCACTTCGCCGGTGTTTTACATTATTGAAGCTTAGGTGAATTACAGATCAGGACCTCTACGTCTTTTCACAGTCTTAAGACAAGAAGGAGTTTGAACTATATCAAAAATTCTACTGTACATTTGAATTTCTAGAGTTTTCAAACACCATCCCTTTGAAATCCGAGATTTCTTTCCAAACTTCCACTTCTAATTCCAACAATACATGATCATAAAGCTTAAGACTGCAGTCATATTTTATTTATTGTCATAGTCAAAATTTTGATAGAAAAACTGCTTTTAGGGACAATTTTGCCCCATTTTGTGCGAGAGTTGGGCGCGCCAAAAAGAGGCGTGGTCCCACGAGCACGCTACGTGCAAATCCGCATTGTCGTCAAAGGGTATTTCCACGTACTAAGGCACTTATTGCTAAACTGGAGAGGATACAGCACAATTTCATCAAAAGATTGTTCATTAGGTCGTTAGGGATTACCTATATTAGGTATTCCCCGTGGTGTAATCAAGAACAAAATGCTCAACTTAGACTCCTGCACCTAAGGCGGAGGATAAATGATGTTTTGATGGTCTATAACATCCTTAACAAGCGTGTCAATTTGAATGGTGATCACTTTTTCCAAATGGTCCCATCCAGGACCAGAGGAGATAGGTTCAAGCTCCTTAAAGGCAAAAGTCAGGCTCGTGTTTCGGCATTATGGCGCCTGATATTGAGTTTAGAGATGGGAGGTGGAACGACAGTGAAGAAAAAACGAAAAAAAAAAACCGTCGACAACACCGAAATCGAAACCCTTCCCTTCTAGCAGTGAAGGAGGCTTGCTCGGGGGAGAGCACGTCCAAACGAGTTTTCCGGATATGCCAGCCGTTCCATCGGTTGATACGGCAATCAACCTAGCTGATCTCACACGTTAGGCCAGCCACGCACCACATCCCGGTGGGCGATCTGTGCTGCCGGAAATTCTCGCAGCACGGCAGCACACAATTGCAAGGCCCTAGCGCCTTTGCCGCGCACTTCCTTGTCGCGACAGCGTCACACCCCTCTGCTTGGAGACCCCACTTTCGCACCCTATAAAGGACTTCCTCATGTTCCCTAATCCTGACTCGTGGCTTTAAGCTACCTCGGTCGTCGGTGGGCCGTAAATTTTTCACTTTTCGAGCCGGTATGGAGTACATAAGGATGTGCAGAGTTGTTCAATTATCGGCCTCGTTTAAAAAATTCAAAAACTCCGTTTCTCGCTACCTGCATGGCTTATCCTGATTTTTTTGCACTTTCCAGCGCTTTCAGCCTCACTTTTATTTCATATGTTGTGTTGATGTTGTCTTGATGAGTTGTAGCCAAGGTTTCTCTTTTTTTCTTTTCACCTTACACATGTTGTTCAACATGGAATAAATCAAATCAAATCAATCAATCAAGTAGGACTCCTTGACGAGGAATCCTCGACCGAGCTTCACGCTAATTTGTCGTCACAGAGTTTTCTACCGGATATAGTTCATATTTTGAAAAAAAAAGAACCGCTGTAGTTATGCGACAACTCAAACATCTTGTTCAGCTCAACCCCGGTTAGGTACACAGAGGTTTTATACTAGTTTGGTGGTATTTTGAGGCGAAGTTTCAGTATTTTACTAATACGCAGTACAAAGAAATACAGAATGCTGGCACTATCGGCTTCGAGTGGTAGGTGAGGGGAGGGAGGGACGTGACTGTGTGGAAAGGCCATATTTGGAACTGCCAATCCCAAGGAGTGGATTATTCAGACGGAGTAGGTCAGAATTGACCTAGGATCCCATCGCTACCCCAGGTAATGGTACAACCACTTGTCACTTTATTATGTCCACCCTTTCTACTTTGCAGCAGTCTTTTTCAGCACCGTTATTGCTGAGGTAGCCAGAGATACATTTCCACATTATGGTCACCTGTTCGGCTACATTTTCACTTTCAATCCCTTTTTTTGACCACCTTTCGTTAGTGGACACCAGCAGCCATATCATTGTAACTTGACCGAACGGGAATGTCGGCGCAGTGTTCAGAGGTCACTTCGGCATTGAAGGTTATCACACATTATAGTTCACGATTTCACATCTGACCGCATGCCCAGTTTTGAGTTTAGAAGAATTTGTAAGCTAGGTTATTAATGGAATAAGAGTGAAGTGTAAGAGACTAGGCACTCTTAGGCTTTCGGAATAAGCAATAACCCATTGCTGATGAAGTTTATTACTGTTAAACTCGAAACTGAAACGACTGAGAACAATTAGCCATGCGATTAGACTTTCGCAGCCCGTCGCATCTTTCGCACTTTTCGTAGCATTTTGGCCTTTGCATGGAAACGACGCTTGTATGGAGCCGGTTGAGCATAGCCACCAGCTAAAATGAATGGTTTTCTGAGATGAGTCGGCCATGACATTGCAAAACGTGACTCACGTGGTGGTGGTGGACTGAGACGTTGTGGCTGTGTTGGTGGCGTCCCTGCGCGTGGCTTAACTGGGGCTGCCCTACTCCGCGTGACGTAACTGGTGCTGCTACAGACTGGTGGGAATGATCGTGTTGCCAGCTGGCTTGCGGTGTGCAACGTGCATACCCTCCACCCCACACTGCCGCCAAGACAACCGTATTCGCCGATGGGAGTCGGTCTTGGAGGAGCAACTGGTGGGCTAACTGGAGGTCTAGGTGGAGAAACGGGAGGGCTAACTGGAGGCCTGGGTGGTGAGACGGGAGGGCTCACAGGTGGCCTTGGTGGAGAAACGGGAGGGCTAACTGGAGGCCTAGGTGGAGAAACGGGAGGGCTTACAGGCGGCCTTGGTGGAGATATTGGGGGGCTAACAATAGGCCTAGGTGGGGAAATTAGGGGTGGCTGCTGGTATCCTCCTGATGGTGGATAAACCGGAGGGCTAACTGGAGGCCTGGGTGGTGAGACGGGAGGGCTCACAGGTGGCCTTGGTGGAGAAACGGGAGGGCTAACAGGAGGCCTAGGTGGAGAAACGGGAGGGCTTACAGGCGGCCTTGGTGGAGATATTGGGGGGCTAACAATAGGCCTAGGTGGGGAAATTAGGGGTGGCTGCTGGTATCCTCCTGATGGTGGATAAACCGGAGGGTTAACAGGGAGGCCTGGGTGGAGAGACTGGAGGACTAACAGGTGGCCTTGGTGGAGAAACGGGAGGGCTAACAGGAGGCCTAGGTGGAGAGACTGGTGGGCTCACAGGTGGCCTAGGTGGTAAAACTGGGGGGTTGACAGGTGGCCTTGGTGGGGAAATTGGGGGTGGCTGTTGGTATCCTGTTTGGTGGTGGTGCTGGAGGTCTATATGGCTCTACTGGTGAAGTAGCTTGCGGCGGTGAGACCGGAGCAGCTGCAGGTAGTGGTTGTGTGCTATGGGTGCAGGTGGAGGTGGTGCAGGCGGTAGGGAAGAGTGCGTGCAGGCCGGTGCTTGCTTGTGGTGGTGGCTCCACCGGTGCCAGGTGGATGGTGTGCAGTGGTCGCTGCAGGTGGTGCTGCCGGTGGCGCAGCAGGTCGTGGTGCTACCACGGGTGCAGGTGGAGGTGGTGCAGGTGGTGCTGTGCCGGTGGTGGCGCTGCCACAGGTGCAGGTCGAGGTTGTGCTGGTGGTGGTGGTGAGTACTCAGCTGGTGGTAATACGTAACCTGAAATATTGTTGGTTTCTTTAAAGGGTACTTAGAGAAAGATATGTGACAAATGCTTCTTTGTCTCTAACCTCCATCACCGCCGCCCTGCCTCACCTCACGCCGCGCCTCCGCTCCTCCGCCGTCGTAGCTTGCCGCACCACTCTAGGTACGTCCTCGCTGAGGCAGTTTGGGACCTATACATTTTGCTGGGTAAATTATGAGGAAATCAAGTTATTCAGAGTAAGTTGAATAGTAGCTAAATGTGAAACGATGGGAAAAGAAATGCTGCTCACTTCCGGGGAAGCAGTCGTTTGTACCGCCTCCACAGTTCGGACCTATAAATTCCGTATTGTGGAAATATTCCTGCCGTGATAAAATCCAGAGTAATACGGTCAACATGTTAATTATAATCAACAAAGTTGTTGCTTACTTCCAGGTATACATTGGCCACCGCCGCCGCCGCCGCCCCCTCCACAGTTGGGGCCTGTAATGGAGAGAATCAACTTAGATATGATGAGCCTTTTTGCAAGTTAAAAGCAGTCATACGTTCAAATTTAGTTAAATTAGATGTGGAAATAATGCTTACTTCCGGGAATGCAATTGGTTGTACCACCACCGCAGTTGGGGCCTGAAATTAAAACAAATTTAAACAAACAATCGGAATTCAAGCATGAAATCAATGTGATGGTCCGATGCGGAATTTCGAGATGAAATCCGACTTTATATATGCCAATAAAACTGGTTAATAGGGGAACAGGAATGTAGCCTACTTCCAGGTATGCATTGTCCTCCTCCACTAGAGCCTTTGAGTCCGCCTCCGCCGCCGCCGCTACCGCCGCCTCCGCCTCCTCCGCCTCCTCCAGGCGTGGCGTACCGGCTGAAATCACAAGTCATGTGGAAAAAGTAGGTTTACTATTTTTAATGCTAGTAAAACGTTATATAAAGGAATTAGTAAAACGAAGGAATCTTGAGGGGTGATCACGTACCAGAACGCTGTAGCGAACAGTGCCGCTAACACGATACTCCGCATGATTAGCTAATGTGGGATAACCCTTACTGCTTCGATTAGCCTTTTATACTAAATCCGATGGAGGTCATTCGTCTAATTTCCAGTTCTCGACGACAATCTGGGCAAATGTCCGGTGACGTTGATCTGTTACAGCATAGGAAGCTAACCTTGGCGAGCATATTGTTTTCGCTGTGCCGTTCATTTTCGCTCTATATTCTGCTATCGTAATTACGAGCACAAGGCCGTAACAGTTGAAGTTGCATAGCACCCATATTGCTAAGGGAACTGGTGGAAATAACTTTGTTCGTTGGAACACTACATGATTTTCCATAACATAGTTTGAGGCTTAGTTTTTGATCGAGCGCGAATGTGATGTGGTGGAAAGGGGCGCTGCTTTCAATGCACACATCCAGGTATCGACTTCCGCTCGGGTCATTCTAGCTCTATCTTTCCGGAATTTGTGTGAGATCAGCTAGGTTGATTGCCGTATCAACCGATGGAACGGCTGGCATATCCGGAAAACTCGTTTGGACGTGGCTCTCCCCCGAGCAAGCCTCCTTCACTGCTAGAAGGGAAGGGGTTTCGATTTCGGTCTTGTCGACGGTTTTTTTTTCGTTTTTTCTTCACTGTCGTTCCACCTCCCATCTCTACACTCAATTTCAGGCGCCATAATGCCGAAACACGAGCCTGACTTTTGCCTTTAAGGGAAAGCTTGAACCTATCTCCTCTGTTCCTGGATGGGACCATTTGGAAAAAGTGATCACCATTCAAATTGACACGCTTGTTAAGGATGTTATAGACCATCAAAACATCATTTATCCTCCGCCTTAAGTGTAGTGAGTCTAAGTTGAGCATTTTGTTTCTGATTACACCACGGGGAATACTACTATAGGTAAACCCTAACGACCTAATGAACAATCTTCTGGTGAAATTGTGCTGTATCCTCTCTAATTTAGCAATAAGTGCCTTAGTACGTGGAAAATTAACCCTTTGACGACAATGCGGATTTGCACGTAGCGTGCTCGTGGGACCACGCCTCTTTTTGGCGCGCCCAACTCTCGCACAAAATGGGGCAAAATTGTCCCTAAAAGCAGTTTTTCTATCAAAATTTTGACTATGACAATAAACAAAATATGACTGCAGTCTTAAGCTTTATGATCATGTATTGTTGGAATTAGAAGTGGAAGTTTGGAAAGAAATCTCGGATTTCAAAGGGATGGTGTTTGAAAACTCTAGAAATTCAAATGTACAGTAGAATTTTTGATATAGTTCAAACTCCTCCTTGTGTCTTAAGACTGTGAAAAGACGTAGAGGTCCTGATCTGTAATTCACCTTAAGCTTAATAATGTAAAACACTAGAGCGAAGTGCCATATCCTAAAACTTCATATAAATTAGCTAGTAACAAACATTTCTGCAAAATATGCTAAACATAGGCGTAACGGAGCTTGCTTATAATTACTGATATGTTGAAAATGTTTTAAATGGGTAAAGAAGAAAATTTTAGGGTGGCACCCACCATTGGGTGCCATTGTCCCACGCGACGGTCATAGTGGCACCCACCGGTGGGTGCCATTGTCGCCAAAGGGTTAATACATGTACCATGCTCAAGTACAGAGCAAACATAGATTTTATACGCCTTTATAAGCAGCATCATGGTCCCTAGATTTAAGTGATTTGAATAAGAGGTAAACTCT